TGAAAAGGCAAAGTGTTAGAAAGGATTTCCGCATATCATTACAAGCCTTGGCATCAAATCAGTTATGCAAGATGTTAACGCTCAAGGCATTGCAAGTTGACCTTAAAATTCGAAAAGTCGGGACGCGTTGTTTCCATTATAGGCCGGGGTTACAGATGTCACGCTCAGATATCAGAGTGATTTAATACGGATTTTACAAGATAAATAAGCTTATATTCGGCCATTAACTATAACAGAGCTGCGCTGCTTGAAAAACTTTAACTTCTGCCACACAATTCCCACATCGTAAAATTGGATTAGCTGATGCATGCACAGCCAATCAAAAAACCTGCTTAGTCCGGGAGGAGTCCTTTACATACCGTTGGAGCTGCAAGATTAACAAAGAACTTGTTATATGTGTCAGGGACGTTTACAAACAGAAGGTCATTTTAAAAAGTGCTCGCAAAAGTTTACTGAAACTCCAGCAAGTGGGCCAAAACTGCGCAAGGCAATTCTATGTAACTGGCACTGATGCTAACCGTTAAAGCCGCTATTAAAAGCAATAGGGAGAGATCTCAAGGAATACAGTCAGTTGTTTTTAATCCCCTGACTGCGTGATCTTAATTCTGCTATCTAATGGCGTTAAATCAACCGATCGAGATAACTGAAATGTTACGTGCCGATAACTTGTTTGAAATAATCAGTTAAATCTACGCATTTCCGAAGTTTAAGTTAAACACTAGGAAATGAAATAATGACCTCTGCTTATTATCTTACAAGTTTTTTGTATTATTATTATTATTATTATTATTATTATTATTATTATTTTACAGTTCTTCTTGTTTTCTTTTAGCTGTTTCAGACTTTAAATACTTCGTGAAAGAGCAGGTGAAGTCGCATAAACTGGAAAATCACTGGACCAACATTTTAACAATTAAACAAGCACTGGATATCAATTTGTTATCACAGGCAACGTCAGCGAAAGCTCCCCTTCCAAAAGTCCACGCCGTCAAAATTTGTCATAGGCAGCGTCAGCGAAAGTTCGCTTTACAAAAGTCCACATCAGAGTCAAAGTTGTCCTTACATGGAAGCAATATTTACAAACACTATGGTACATATAAACTTCAGAGGAAATTCTTCGAATGATTTGCAGAACTCGACGTCAGTCACCTTATCGTCAACCGAGAGTGCCAAGTTTAAAATCGTCAAACTGTTCTTTTATGCAATCATATTCCTTATCAGCGTTATTGGCAACACTCTTGTCTGCATTGTAATAGTTAGAAGGCATCGAATGCGTACCGTGACAAATTGCTTCATATTAAATCTGGCAGTGGCCGATCTCGCCATTACTTGTATTTGCATTCCATTCGATATCCCAGTCCAAGAAAACAACTACAAATGGCCGTATGGAAGTCTTCTTTGCAAGCTTCTTTACCCTCTTCAGACAATGGCTATGTTCGCGTCAATCTTCACCCTGATGGCCGTTAGCCTAAACCGCTATTGGGCCATTGTCTACCCTTTGCAAAACCAAATGTCAAAGAGGCATGCAAAGGGATTCATCTCTGTAATATGGCTTTTATCGGCCTTGGTCACGCTTCCTTACATCTTAGTGCTGCGACTTGACGAAGAGACGGTGAGCTGCGAAGAACACTGGCCTGTGAATGTTAATTACAGAAAGGCGTACACACTGTCACTTTTCCTGGTTCAGTACGTGGTCCCTTTGACAGTAATCACATTGGTCTACTTGAAAATTGCACGTGAGATGCGCAAATGTATTAAAAAGAGGAAGACATCTTGTATTAACAGAGACCTCAGCAAATCTCATCAGATCGAGAGGAAGCGAGTTGTACGCATGCTAATTGTTGTAACAGCTCTCTTTGCAGTTTGCGTTCTGCCTAATAACATTATGTGGTTATGGCTAGACTTTGGCAATGGTGAAGAATACGAACATTTTTGGGACGTGGTCGCGGTCACCAATATTATCCTGTTCGCTAACAGTGCTGCGAATCCAATAGCCTACACGATATGCCACGATAATTTTCGGGAGGAATTCCGACATTATGTCTCGTGCGACCGTAATATTTTTAAATCAATACTGGAACGGTCTTCGTTTTCGAGAGCCCAACGCGCAAGTTATTACACCACTACATGGACTCGAATAAGCTCGATGAAAGGAAGAGAATTAAAGAAAATGATGAAAAACGCACCAGAAACCGATGTATAACCCTTAACTCTCGAGGACTAATCCAAAATACAGTGTAACCAAAATCAAGAAAACTACCACAAGAATATGTGATTTGAAGCACATTCTCAAAAATAACTTGTGCCAATCAGGGCCCGCATGTTTAGAGCACGATTTACTTAATTCAGGAATAGCTTTTATTTCGAATTGTATTTAGCTCTTTGGGGTTTTGCTGATATTTTCTGTCTCCTAGTTTTATACGTCAATTTTTCTTCAACTTGGGAAACACTATTGCACGTCCTCATGTAGATATATGTACAAAAAGAAAATCCTCCATCAACTTTTCATCCTAAATTAGTTTTAACCATCTTTTCAACAAGTGTACCTAGTGCAGAAATTTATTTATACGAGCTCCTTGAGACACAGACGTCCGAATGTAAGACTAAAACTAAAATGTCTCGATCGACGTGTTAGAGGGATGTAATGGTCTGCTCGTTGCTTGAAAAGTAAGACAGACTAAGTTCCTTTGACAATTAACATGTTGATAAGCAGAATGCCCATCTTTCCACATAATTGTAAGGCGAGAATTTTAGAGCTATAGAGATGGTGATCTTTTGGTTATCATCGATTTTTTTGTTGTTACTTCTTTCTTATTTATTTAGTCACAGTAAGAAAACAAAACAAAACAAAAACTACGAGCCTACAAACTTACAAACAACTTACAAACCACGGATTGGCGTGTAAGACGGAATTGAGTCCCCAAACTTTGTCACAGGGAAGCCACTTCTAAACTATTTTAGAAAATGCAAAATCTAGTGCATCTCGAGTTACGTTTTTCATTTAAAGCGATATTTGAACTTTTGCCCTTGGAGAAGCCCTCAAACCATTGTTATTATGCAAATTTACCGTCCTAATCAACATTACGAGAAAGTTCGTTTTTTGCAACTTTCCCGACAAAAATAACACCTGCACATAGATTCCACTGTGAAAATGTTATTTGAAAGAAACCGTAAAGCTTCCTCTGTCATTCTGGGAAATGAAATTTGGGGAAATTCAATCTGTGACTTCTGAACACATGTACAGTATTCCCATGAAGCGTTATGGCCTTTGAACTTACGGTTATCTTCAGTGCTTTTCGTATGCTGCAAGGTGGTCAATGCTCTCATTAAAACAAAATATGCCACAAAAGAAAGGTTTTCTTACCAGATTTTAAGATATATAGCTTACCATCCACTTGTATGGCTCGATTTGCGCAGCAGCACTGGATGTGATGGCGTGACGATCATTCACAAGTAGCTTTTCTTGGATCAACTTGGCCAGAAAGCATTTATCTTATGACAACACAGTGTATTGAGACTCTTTGATAAAGTCTTTCAAAATAAGTCAAAATGACTTTCGTTTTTGGAGTTTTGGAACACTCAGTGCGGTACATGGAAAACCCGTATCCGATATTTGTGTGCCGCCGTCGTGTGT